AGTTTCGCATTTGAATATTGTAATGGCTTATGACAAAAGTTGCTTATGCAGGTCCACGTCTTCGTATAGACCCCAATATAACGGCTAAATTCGGTATTTTAAAGGTTTTAACAGAAATTGTACTCTCGACATATTTCAGTAGATCTCATATAAATGCATGTGCTCAACTCTTGTGGTGAAAAACGTTCAAGGCATACGTCAGGTATTCAACTTCAAATTGAATAAATAAGTACTTATTTAACGACCTTTTTGTGGCCAGAAAATAAGTGTGTATTTTGCGCTATATTCTTGTGTTTGGTAACTAGATTTGTAATGAGTATTTTTGCCGTGGGCCGTGGTATAACTATGGAAAGTATAGGTGCATTGTTGTCATTGTTTAACAGTGTGCCTACACGATTTTTGCTGGGTTAAAATGTTTATGTAACACCAAATTTGAATTTTCTCCCTATAACCAACGAATACCGTTTTCTATCATTTTGATTAATTATTTTCGAAATTGTATAATTGATTATACACAATGAGAGATAATTTAATTTTAGCCAATTACAATTTCACTACTTCGTGCAAACCACTTGGCAAATTCGTTTCTTAAATCTTTTGTATTAAATCCATAAAACACTTAATTCGTGGCGCTCAATGTGTGGGTCACTGTTTAACATTTGTTAGTTATATTTGTTTTCAGGCGATTACTATTATTATTATTATTTAATTTTTTTTTTTTTGATTTTGTTAATGAAAACATTTTATGTAAATGCAGACAATCAAAGGTCTTAAAATGTGTGACTAATTACATATGAATGCCAATATGGCCGTCCACATGAGGATGAATGACTGAATGAATGACGATTACAATGAAATTACGCACGTCACGAGTTACCTTGACACACCAAACAGACATCCGAAAGCAGCCAAACATAAACAGACGATTTAAACCCAACAACAACAAAAAAGAGGAATAGGTATTACTTAAAGCAAAAGCAGAAAAAAACCAAACATCATCAACAATAAAACGGTAATCATTCATCGCATCGCTATTGCAATCATAAACTCACACATATGCAGGCGGCGTGTCAGACGTGTCCCAGTACAATAGATAGCAAACACCAGGAATATTGAGAGAAAATTAGCAACACAACACAACAGCTACATGCCAGCAATTTGTTTTCCGTTAAATTTAAAATTCCTGTCAAGTTTTGCAGTGGCAAAAAATTAACAACGAAAAAACCAGTGATCCAGCCATCATTTGAATGAAAAGCCACCATCCACATCCAATGCCGTGATCATTATCGCAATTATCTCAATATACCCATACACACATTTGATGTGTATGTGTAGGTTTTTGAAAATGACCATACATATGTAAAGCTACCTTTTCCGCCATTTGATAGAGGCAAGAAAAAAAGTTGAAAGCATATGACTTGGGCAGACTTGAAAGTATACCACAACCATCGTTCACTCTTACTATCGTTGAGGAAACCCGTACGGTACCAGTTGTAAAGGTTTTGTTTTTCTTATTGTCGCTGTTGTTGTTGTAACTGTTTTTGTTCGCACGAAAGAAACCCATAACCATAGCTTAACACATTTTCTTTGATTGCCTGGAATAGGTTTCTCTCTTTAAAAATAGCCACTGTCATGTTCTCTTTGAAAATCGAAATTATTCTCTTAACATCACAATAGTCGAATTGTAAAATTGGCTTCAAGTCAGCGTTGGTGGTGTATAATCTACATACATTTTACTAATTTTTGACTGCTCACAAAAAATCGACAAAGATTAGATTGTGGATTAATTACTGTGACCTTTTATGCCAAAAGCAATGGGTTTCCAATTTGTTGATCTAGAGTTCTAAATATATACGAGCTACGCCGAAAATGGGGACAGAACTTTTTGTGGACCAAATATATAAAATCAGGGTGGAATATATAAAACGTGGTAATAATAGGTGAAAAACATTAAGTTAGACCGGGTCGAACTTTTGATAACCTCCACCATTGGGTAAAGAAAATATAGTTATTTAATAGTATCTGAATTCAATTGTGTTCCACTTTAAACTACATATACCAGTAAGACCGTTTGGACAACGTAGTTAAATTTATCAAAGTGACTAGGATTATCAAAATACCGAATATCGGTGGGTACCGTTAATATGCGCTATAGGAAAACATGGACCAAGATTTTCAATATTCTGCCACCGGAGCGAGAACCCATAGAGAACTACAAATACCAATTTTTAGACAAATTCATGGAAAAATGTGGCAAAAATCATCAATATACCGAATATAGGGAGGTACTGTTATATGAATTCCACCACGGGAGATAGAACCCATTATGACCTACAAATACCAATTTTTAGACAAATCCGTGGAAAAATGTGGCGAAAATCATCAAAATACCAAATATCGGGAGGTACCATATGGCGGCTATACGAAAACTTGGACCTATACATACAATGTTCCGCTACGGGAGCTAGAACCCATTATGACCTACAAATACCAATTTTTAGACATATCCGTAAAAAATGTGGCGAAAATTATGAAAATACCAAATATCGGGAAGTGCTATATGGCGGCTATATCAAAACGTGGACCGATATATCTTATTTTCAAGACCAACCATCCTAGACACAATACAAATTGTTCTACCAAATTTTGAAGCTCTTGGATAATGTGGGCTGTATCGTTATTTCGTTTGTCCATCTATGGTTGTAAGTATAATGACCTCAATATGAAATATACCAAAATTTAGTAGCATTTCGTACAGTTAAAGTACGCATTTTAAACAATATCCATATTTTTACCTCAGATACCAACACTGACCTTAATATCAAATATCAGCACTTTAGCTCCGTAATTTTCTCACTCATTACCAAATGGTACCATTTTGTACAATTTTGGCACACATTTCCTAAAACCACCTCCATGTCTTAAACACAGACACCAACATTGACATCTATATCAAATTTCAGGATTTCAGCTCTATTCTTTCACCCAATACCAAATTTAGTACTTGTCGTACAATTATAGTACACATTTCCGAAACTACCTCCTTATCTCAATTCCAAATACCAACAAAGACCGCAATAACAAATTTGAGGATTACAACCCAATACCAAAAATAATACCATTCGCTACTTTTCGAACAATTAGAGTATACATTTCCAAAATCACCTCCATGTCCTAATGCCAAATAGCAAAAAACTCAATTTTAAAATTTTCGGGATTCCAGCCCTGTCGCTTCTCCCAATACCAAATTAAGTACTATTTAGGACATGTCGTGCAATAAAGTACACATTTCCAAAACCACCTCCATACCTCAATTCTAGATACCAACAGAGACCTCAATAACAAATTTTTGGGATTCCCACCCTATCCCTTCATCCAATACCAAATATAGTACCATTCGGTACATTTCGTACAATTATAGTACCCAGTTCCGAAACCACCTCCATTCCTCAATTCCAGAAACCAACGGAGACCGCAATAACAAATTTGAGGATTCCAACCCAATACCAAGTATTGTACTAGTCGGTACTTTTTGTTCAATTGTTGTACACATTTCCAAAATCACCTCCATATTTCAATGACAGATACAAAATGGACCTCAATTTTCAAAACTTTTGGGATTGTAGCTCTATCCCTTCACACAATACCAAATTTAGTACTTTTCGTACAATTATAGTACACATTTCCAAAACCACCTCCATATCTCAATTCGAGATACCAACAGAGACTTTAATATCAAATTTGAGGATTGCAACCCAATTCCTTCACCGAATACCAAAATTTAGTACCATATAGTACTTTTCGTACAAATATAGAACGCATTTCCAAATCACCGCCAAATCTCAAATACATGTACCATCAGTAATCTAAATATCGAATTTCAAGATTTTATCTCTCTTTCTTCACCCATTACTAAATAAAGTACCATTCGGTACTTTTCGTACAATTATAGTACATATTCTTGAAACTCACTCCATATGCCCAGCCTACACACAAAAAGAGCCAACCTAATACCAAATTTCAGATTTCGAGTACTATATGTTCACCCAATACTAAACTATACCAATTATAGTACGATTTAGTACTTTTCGTGCACTTGCAGTACACATTTCCAAAACCACCTATTTATCACAAACCAACCACCAACAGGGGCCTCAATACAAAATTTTTAAATCCCAGCTCCATTCGTTCTCCCTTAACCAAATGTAGTACCATATAGTACGATTCGCACACTTAGTACACACTTCCAAAACCACCTTCACATATCAAACTTACTTTCCAACCTTGATTGTCATACTAAATTTTTTAGCTCTATCCGTTCACATAATATCAAATGGTACTATTTTAGAACTTTAGTACCATTTTAGAACTTTTCGTAAGCTTTAAGTTCGAATTTCTGCACTTCACCAGTGACTCTCATTTCAAATTTCTAGTTCATTCCGTTTATCCAATGAAAAATATTCAAATGTTACTACATGTTACTACTTTTCGTATCCTTTTAATACGACTGTCCAAAAACCCGGCCTTATCACCGGCCTATGACAAAGACTAACTCTAGTGCAAAATTTCAAAATTCTAACTTTAGCTATTTCGTCTGGTTGTTGGTTCTCAGTTAATCAGTTATTTCACAAGTCTTATACATATACAGAGTAACCCCACACATACCATTACTCCATTACATTTCAACACTGATTGCAATGATGAGTAACACCAAGAAATCCATTGCCATGACTCTAATCCCCCTTCATGGTCTGGTTTATGTAACGCTCTTGTATTAACATGGTACCACAAACACAAGAAGCCATCATCCAATGCGTTTCTTCTGCCATAAGAGAGTTTCACCAAGAGAATACCCACGAGTACGAGAAGAGAAAAAGAAATAGCATGAAAGAGAAATAAAGCTAGAGTTGAAGCCAGCTGTGACGTTGTGAGCAGGGAAAGAGGTCACAACTTTCACGCAATATAAAATCATGTTATCGAAGTGCCAGTGCCGCATTTGCGAGTGAACTGTTCGTCCGAAGAGAGGTGCTTCTTCCCAAGGAGATTTGAATATAAAAATCTAAAGCAACGTAATATTATAAATAAAAATCCTGTATAAAAGCGGATATAAATTATAAAATATAAAAAAAAAAAACAAAATAAAGTAGTGGATTAAACGGTAAATTAAGAAAATAAAAAGAAACAAAAAAAACAAAACATAAATGCCTATACAAAAACAAATAATACAGTAAAACAGAAAATAGAAGAACGTGTGCAAAGTGTTGCCAAGATAAATAAAACAATATCAAAAGTTATTATATTTAAATGAAATAACCCAAAAACCAAAATTGAATTGCTCGGTGTTTGTTATATAACATTAAATTAAAAATTTTTCAAATTTCAAAAATATTCCTTGCAGAGTGCAGCAGTGTTGAGTTGAGAATATAAAAGCGTGTCATTTTATAACGGATTATTTTCAAAACCCAACCTTTCATAACGGATTATTTTATTAAAAACACATACGAAAACCCCAAGACACTCAGGTAAGAATTAGAAACCAGAAAAAAGGAAAAATAGTTGAAAATGTATTTAATTGAAATTGAAAGTTAATTTTAAATTAAAAGAAATAAACTAAACTTTGTGAACTTTCAATTTTATTCAAAATTTCCATTCACATTAACCTAAAGAAAGAAGGAAAGTAAGAAAAAACAAACCCTGACTAAATTTCAAAAGACAATATTGCGGTGCGGTTATTGTTTTGTGACTGGCTGGCTGACTGGCTTTTAAAAAGCTTTGTAAGCGAATGCCTTTTTGGAAAGTGTTGCCTTGTGGTTTGAAACATAATTGTGGATGCTGCTGCCGTTGCTGCATTTAGTCTCAGCAAGCCAACCAGCCAGTCGGTGGTTGTCGCTGCTTTTGTTACTAATTTTTGTGTCTTCGAAATGCTGAAGATAATGATGCTGATCTTACCACTCCGACTCTGATAATGACAAAGAAGATGGTTAGTTAGTTTGTTGGCCATTAACGGACTGTGTGTTTTTGTATGTTTGTATGTATGTGTGAATGTATTTCTGCTCATTTATTTGTGAAATAGTTTCACTGCATATCAGCGATTCCCAAACTGTTGTTTATAGACCATTAATCACTGTGAAAGGTAGTATTCTTGGTTGTTAAATGAGAACATTAATTGAGTTCGTTTGCAGAGAATTGGATTAAGAATGTCGTTGGAAATGTTAATTGCGTAGAGTTAAAAAAGTCATATTTCATTAGCGCGAAAAAGAAAGATGGAAATATTTTCATTAAACCTAAAGGAGATTTTGTGTACATCTTTTGGGTTTTTTATGTCAATTTTGCAATTTTGTTATTTTTGGGAGTATTGCGTATTTAAAAGGTTCTGTTTTGGTGAATATTTTGTATATTGCTGTGATAAAATTTAGTTTTTTTCATGAACATATATTATTTATTGTGATTGTGATTTAATATGAAGTCATAAATTGGTAAAAGCGTAGTTTGGTAGCAAATGAATTCCATGCATTAAAGGCGTTCTACGTCGTCCTAACACATCGTCTACAACAAAGGTCAAAATCCGGGCCATAAAGAGAGGGCAAATAAACTGACATCATACTGCTTGCAAATAGTTTTTGACCGAACTTCTTAAAATTTTGCAGCCTTTTCATGATGAAGGATTATGGCTTAGATCGTATGGCTTTGACGCAATGCAAAATTGTTTTTTTTTTTCGTAATTTTTTGTTGGGGAGATCAAATCGAATCCAAATCCCGAGAGAGTTATTACTATTTAAATTGTTAATCTTTTATGGGGGAGATCCATTATTCAGTGAACCAATATTGTCCAGTTTTGATCCTGAACTGTGTTTTATCTAAATTTTATGATGTGCCAATTTTGAACTACATAGGGTACATCCTTTGCTCAATATCAAATGTTTTATACCCTCATCATATGGCTAGAGAGGGTATATATCATTTTATACGGCCAAAACTTGCCTCATCGAAATAACGGACCAAATCCGTTTCAGGCCATTTGGAGTTGATCTATTGATGTCCGTCCATTCGTCTGTTTGTCTGTATGACTGGTTCGCACGACAACATTCAAACGTCCAAACTTGGTACATCGTAATGTTGTTATAAAATTTTGATGTAGTTCGGGGATGGGCAATATCGGTAAAAAAAACCAGTAAGGAAAGCTCAAAAGTCGGGCGGGGCCGACTATATGATACCCTACACCACTATGCATATTTAGTAGAGCTCTCGTAAAAAGGTTTATACAGGGCATTTCAGAGCTCTATGAGATATTTGGTACAAAATCAAAATCTATCTAATTCTATCGTGCATTTTACGAACTATAGCTATCTCTGAACCGGGTTTCTCCAAATTTGACGTATTAGGTTCTAGACTGAATTATGTACGAAAATTCAGGTGATTTGGGCTGATATTGACCATTTAGTGTACAATTAACCTGAAATCGATAGAATAATGTGAAGAGTATGCTATGCTATGCTATATCCAAATCTGAACAGATTTTGATAAAATTAAAATCGACTATTTTTGGGCTTTATCTGATATCTGGTACCAAATATCATTCCTGTGAAGAGTATATTACGAATGTAAGGGACTTAAAGAGCAAATCGGATGAAACATGTATATGGGAGCTAGAGCTATATCTGAACCGATTTTTACTAAAATTTGTGTACTTGCTTATAGGCTGGTTTCGGTCGGATTTGCCAAAATTCATGCCATTTGGGCTGATATTGGCCATTTGATGCACAATTAACACGAAATTGGATGAAGATATATATGGGAGGCCTATCCAAATCGGAACAGATTTTAATAAAATTAAAATCAACCATTTTTGGGCTTTATCTGATATCTGGTACCAAATATCATTCCTGTGGAGTGCATATTACGAATGTGAGGGACTTAAAGACCAAGAACCGATTTTTACTAAAATTGGTGTACTTGCTTCTAAGCTGGTTTCGGTCGGATTTGCCAAAATTGATGCTATTACGGCCATTTGGTGGTCAATCACCCGAAATTGGATGAAGATATATATGGGAGCTATATCCAAATCTGAACCGATTTCGATAAAATTTAAAACAACTATTCCTGTGCTCCATCTAATACCTGGTACCAAATATCACGGTTGTGGAGTGAATATTACGAATGTAAGGGACTAAAACACTAAATCGGATGAAACATATATATGGTTGCTATATCTATATCTGAACCGATTTTCACTAAATTTGATATACTTGCTTCTAGGCTGAATTTGGTCCGATGTACTAAAATTCAGTCCATTTGGACTTATATCGGCCATTTGGTGCACAATTAACCCGAAATCGGATGAAGATATATATGGGAGCTATATCCAAATCTGAACCGATTTCGATAAAATTACAAACATCTATTTCTGGGCTGCATCTTATATCTGGTACCAAATATCATTCTTGTGGAGTGCATATTACGAATGTGAGAGGCTTAAACACCAAATCGGATGAAAGATATATATGGGAGCTATAGCTATATCTGAACCGATTTTCTCCAAATTTGATATACTTGCTTCTAGGCCGAACTCGGTTGGGTGTGCCAAAATTCAGGTAATTTGGACTGATAGTGGACATTTGGTTCACATTTAACCCGAAATCGGATGAAGATATATATGGGAGCTATAGCTGTTTCTGAACCGATTTTCTCCAAATTTGTTGTATTTGCTTTAAGGCTAATCTCGGTCACATGTGCCAAAATTCGGGCCATTTGGGCTGATATTGGTCATTTGGTGGTCAATTAACCCGAAATCGGATGAAGATATATGGGAGCTATATCCAAATCTGAACCGATTTCAATAAAATTTAAAACAGCTATTTCTGTGCTCCATCTAATACCTGGTACCAAATATCACGGTTGTGGAGTGCATAGTAGGAATGTGAGGAACTTAAAGATCAAATCGGATGAAAGATATATATGGGAGCTACAGCTATATCTGAACCGATTTTCTCCAAATTTGATATACTTGCTTCTAGGCCGAACTCGGTTGGGTGTGCCAAAATTCAGGTAATTTGGACTGATAGTGGATATTTGGTGCACATTTAACCCGAAATCGGATGAAGATATATATGGGAGCTATATCTAAATTTGATCCGATTCTCACCATTTTCAATAGGGTTCGTCCTTGGGCCAAAAAAATATTGTTTGGAAAATTTCATCTCAATCGGATAATAAATGCGACCTGCATTTTGTTCACAAGAATACATGGACAGACGGACGGACGGACGGACGGACGGACAGACGGACGGACATGCATAAATCGACTCAGAAAGTGATTCTATGAAGGTTCTCAAAAGTAACTATGGGTCTATCTCGTTTCCTTCTCCATGTTACAAACAAATGCACAAAGACATAATACCCTTACCACTATGTGGTGTAGGGTATAAATATTTTACTGCACAGAAAGAGAAAGGATAATCCGATTTTGCTTCAACTTTGCACATCCTAATATTTGATTAGTACTAGGTCACGTGCGAAAATGGACAATATCAGTCCACTTCATTAAGTACCTCCCCCACAAAGGGTCAACATTTTGATTAATTATAACTCATATAAAACGTGATGTAAGAGTCCGATTGTCAAATTACATTATACATATACAATATTTTTTATATCGGCCCACTCCTTCTGGTACCTCCCCTACAAAGCTTCAAAAGTTTGAATAACAATGAACTTCATAAAACGTGAAATTAACATCCGATTCCATTCAGACTTGGTGCATCTCAATATTTCCATCAACACACGATCTGTTATAAAGATGATAGAAATCGCACCATTTCTTCTGATAGCTCCCCCACATAGGGTTCAAGATTTTGAATAACAAAACGCTCAAAGAAAGCGAAATAGGCATCCAACTCTCTTCAAATTTCACAATTCTGATGATGATATATGCATGTGAGCTCCTTCTGGTACCTCACCCACAACGTGTCGCAATTTTCAATACTTTTATCTGTCATAACTTGCGAAACAAGTCAGCGATTCTTTACAACTTGCTTGAATATGGACATTTTGGAATACTTCGGTCGACTAAAAATTATATTTATATCATATTTATTTAGGTCCGATACGAATTGGACAATAATAGCTCATATCTCCGAGATCTACTCCATAGAAGGTCAACAATTTGAATAATCATAACAGAAGTTAAAATATACTTAAATAATCGAACATTGGTTGAGGGTACACATCTGTCGGCAAAACCGACTGATACTTTTTAACTTCTTATTTTAAAGCAATAGATCTTTTTTAGAGGTGGTACAAGAAGGATGACACGAATATTTTCGCACCTTATGTAAGCCTTATTTAAATATTGCTATGTACCAAATTTGAAAGAGTTAAGACACAAGCGCACTAAGTCAGACTGGAGGTGTTTATGTTTACAGCTCTGAATTGCTCCTAAATCATTCATGCCTTAATTTCTCTTACTTTCGTTCTCTTGCACTCGTTGTTGGATCTTTAGTATTATTCGTATTTTTTGTTTAAT